CTACCTTTTACAGAATGAAACAATCCCCGTTGTACGTTCTTAACAATCAAATATCAACTTACTGTTAACGAGGGAGGATTCATAATCGCCTGCCGCTTTTCCTGTAGTGTTAACGTTTCGGATCGTGCCTTTTGAGATGAATCCGCGAGAGTACTTATTACGAAGCTCCTATTTCGTGAGATCTGTTTATTTCTTGATGTACAAGCGATTTACATTCGTATTGGTTTGACATTAGGGAATATTTTGCTTCAGGAAGGTGGAGGCGTTTGTTTTATTTTGGGTTGTGGAGGTAGTGTTTTTCAGGGAGTCTGAAATCGTTTTTCGGATAAGACGAATCATCTAAATGTTTTTTGCATCTTTGTTTTCCATTGTTTCGTATTGTATTGTTGGATTCTCAAGTTGGTGACCCGTTTGGCCTTTTAGTGACTTATTGTGGAACATTTGTTGGTGTTCAGAGTATTTACGGTAAGCGAGAGAAGTATGTAAGAATCTTAACAATTAGCGTTGCAAAGTCTCTGCCTACCTCCGTGGGAGACAGGCGTAAAGTTATGTATGTATGTATTAGTGCTACGACAGTACGCTATTATTTAGGAATTTTGTGTTAAACATGTGATTGTCCGCAGTTTAGCTCCACCTCTTGAGGCAGTAATCATGTCTTCGTATCATTAAAAGTTTTCATAATTAGCTAATGCCAATGCACGCATAAGTCAGTCATTTCGTCTTATCCCCTGGAATCGAATCCATTACCACTACTAGATCAAGGGGGTTAGCCACTTTGGTTAAATCATTATGCAGTATGGTAAAGCGTTTTTGGAAACCCTTTGAAGTTGACACTTTTTGGCTTTCAATCTTCACAACGACAAGCTTTTTTTGGGTATGAGGGTTGAGCAGGAGAGCTTCTCTATGGTGCTCTAGATCCCAAAAGGATCTGTAACATTCATAGTACTTTTTCAGTATACACAGCCTTATATCACTAACTTAACGATGATATTATACAGATATTACTTACAGTCACAATACAAAGCAAGAATGATAGCGAATGAAATTCATTAAACTGTGGAACACCGAGCAGTCACCGGTGACCGCAACCTATTGTTCTTTAACTCGTCGAGTACCGTCATTATAGACACAATTATAGAACAATAGGTTGCGGTCACCGGTGACCGCTTGGTGTTTGACAGTTTAATTGTGTCTATAATGACGGTACTCGACTAGTTAAATCCTCTAGTTTAGGCAACGTAGTACAGAACCCATTCTTCACGGGTAGTTACTAGAAAGTTTCAAATGAAAGAAACATATTAACATGTTAGGTACCTATTTGAATTAGTGATCCACCTCAAGACTATGTTCAAGGCTTACACGGATCAGTTGACTAACATAGCAACAATCATCATCAACAGCCTATAAATGCCCACTGCTGAGCATAGCCTCTTCTCACACGGAGATGGTTTGAGCATTAATCACCACGCTTGCTCAATGCGCGTTGGCGATTCAACTTATAATTAGAAATTATAATATATATAATAAGCCCGGGTTTCCTCACGATGTTTACCTTCACCGTTTGTCAGTGGTGTCTAGATAATCTTAGAAAGTACATATAAAAGTCACACTGGTGCTTGCCGTTGGTAGGTTTTAAACCCGTACCCTCATGCATAAGAAGTGCCGTAACCCTCCGAGCTACCACGACATAGCAACAATACTTACCATAAAGTCAATTTCTAGTACTCATCAAACCAATACATGTAGGTACTAACCACCACTTACATGTACCATCAGCCACAGAAGCGTGTGGTCACGTGGCATGTGCCCGCTACATATGTGCACATTGCTGCCACTGAGGCTAATCAGACCATTGCACATTGAACATGGCATGTTGCTTGGATACTGGATAGTGGATATAAACTCTATAGATTAATAGGTCTAGTAGAGGGAAGATGAGAATGGATTTGGTCCTAGTTTTACGAGGACAAATAAAGTTAAAATATTTTGCAGAATCATAGGTTTTATTAGATGGTACATAGTGCTAAAAATATTGCAAGCTTGGTTTAAATTAACTGACTTGTTGGCCAAGTGGTTGCAAGTGCGATAGACAGGCAAGGGTCTCGAGTTCGATTCCCGGGTCGGCAAAGTATTACTGTTTTTATTTTTAATCTTAGTAGTAGCACGGAGTCTGATATAGTGCCCGATATATGTACAATATATATACAATATATACAACGTAGTATATATCTAGTATATATATACAATAAGCTCATCCCTTATTACATGGACCTCATAACATAAGTAGTGAAAAGTGGTGTTACATTGTACAGTGGCATTAGGTGGCAAAATGTGCACCTCTGCCTACCCTTCCAGGAATAAAAAGGCGTGTTGTTATGGTATTTTATAGTCGTAATTAAGTTTAAAGTATACATTTTGAAAATTAACGTAACACAAAGACCTCCTTTATTAGAATTAAACAAGAATAAATTCATCATCATCATCAACAACAGAAGACAACCGCTGCTGAATAAACATAATGAGTTGCCGACAACTCCATTTGCTATTAATCTAGTTTAAAAATGCGAACAGACATTTGTTGTCAACATCTACTGCAAAACAGAATAATAAAATTAACAAAGAAGGGACGTAAAATAAAAAATCCAATTAAGCCATAAGGACATGATAAAAGCCGTGTTACCACCGTACGACGTCGACCGCACAGTGGGTGCAATAGAAAATCCAATTGGTTCAACTCAATTAAACGCTGGCGACAGTTTTACTAGTATTCGAAACTGTAAATAAGTAGTCTAACTGTCAGAGACAAATGAAAGTTGCACAGTGGGCCAATCTGCACACGATTTAGTAGCAATTCCAGAGTTGGAAGGTCTGTGCTGTTTGGCACAACTGCACAGGAGACGCACTCTAACTAGAATGTAAGTTGAAACTTCATGTTGGTTTTAAGTTGTGGAAGTGTAGAGATCTCGTCAGTTGTTTGTCTTGAGGTTTAACTGTTTGGAATACGGATTTTTCTAAATTGTTACTTTAGTTTAGCTTTAGTGTAAGATTTTCATAAACGTGGACGATTTGCAGTTTGATTTATGCATTCAATTTAATAGGGTAGACGACTAATTTTTATTTTAATGTCCGTCTGGTAGATTATTTTAAATCATTATACACGTATTTTTTATTTTCTTACAGAAACGAATACTTTCGACGATATATTGATTTGAAATGTAGAAATGTCGTTTTAGGCCTCGCGGAGAACCTAACGGGTAACCGGGGCTCCGGCTCGACGTGCAGGAGAAGGAACGGGGTGGTTTTTAGTCAGTAAGAGTCTGACACTCCCTTCCGCCTCACCCAGGCGGGAGCAGTCATTTGATGATTTTCCCCCCTTAAAAAAAGGCCCCACTCCTAAATTTTGATTCGTTTTATCTAAGTATTGTTTTATTATACGACAAAATGAAAAAAATATGTGTCTAATATTTTTGAATTACCTAACTTCCGTAAGTTACGGATTCAAAAATATTCTATAATTAGTCCGTACTAATTATATTTTTAATTTTCATACCCCGTCATCATCCCAATTGTAGGACGGATGATAATATTTTCATATTCTAAATTACATCTTCGATTTCTCTATTTTCAGTGTTTCTGTTATTTGTGTATCTTTTCTTTATAGAATATAGTTAATCCGTTTCACTAAATTCAGTATACATGCACCATACAACCTTTTACAACCATACTTTATTTCATATCTAATACGGGCACAAACTAAGATTTCTTTTTTATTTCCTTCGCACACAATATACAGCGTGTTTTATACAGCTTTATTTCTCCTAGAATTTTTATGACTTACGCCAAGCCATATGTGAAGTAAATCGTTGCACACTGGCCGACTGCCAGGGATAAGCTCTCATGGTATCGCCTTACGAGGTTTTGATTAACCGCATACCACATTAAATTACGTAACGTTTCCTCCACATTATAGTTATTACTATCGTACTATCATGGAAATAATAAACTATTGTCGCACTGTATTATCTTGTAAAAAAGGTTTTATATCTCATATTATTATTTGGTTACTGTATCATTGTTTGTGCTTTGGTTAATATATGGTCTTGTGAGCCTAGTTCCTTTGTTTATGTGGCTTCAAGTCCCTCTTTATTGACTGTTTTACTTTCATCTTGAGCAATGAGCTGTTTCGTTAATATTCTTATTAACTGTGTAATAAACCAAAACTGACAGTTGTTATGGTTGCATCACTTCAAAGATTTTGTTGAACGCATTCGCGGAATCATTACCAGTTTAAGTACGTAATTATTTATTTGAGTAGGTAAGTCAGTTTCATTTGTGTTTGAGTTTTATTTTAGTAGAAGCCGCAATATTTTGGTTATAATTGTTTTTGTTTGTTTGTTATTTTGGTAAAATTAACAAAGCGCCTAAGCACGCAGTTGATAACAACATTATTATCATAGAACAAAATAAAGTATTAACATAATTTTAATCAGTTCCCAGTTCTGAAGTAAAAAAATACGTAAAAATAACTTCTACGTTTGGGTCTATCAAATTCTGCTACCTCTCTTCTTTGTACCCCATTGGAGATTCTAGATGAGAAGACCTATTCTGAAGAAAATATAAGTGAAATATTCTCTTGTATAGTTGACCTTAAGTAAAAAGTTAAGTCCCACTGTTATTGCATCCTGTTCTTTTCAACGTTATCATTAGCACTATTGCACTTAAGTGTGGGAGAGCCATGCTTTGGCACGATTGGGCCGGCTCGACCACAGTGATACCACGGCCTCACAGAAAACCGACGTGAAACAACGCTTGTGTTGTATTTTGTCTTGTGAAAAATTACACCCCAATTCCTGAATCTTCCAACAATCCTCAAATTCGTGTGGTATTTCGGGGGTCCATAGGCAACGCCGATTGCTTGCCATCAGGTGATCCGTCTGCTCGTTTACCGGCTTATAAAAAAATTCAGGTCTTTGAACTTGTTCCATTTATTTTGTCCTCAGTGACGAGACGAGAGAAGTGGATGGTCGTGCCAGGTCGGAGTCTGGTGATGCGGACTCGGTGTACCACGTGAGAGGAGCGCTACACGACCAGCGGTGGAGGGATAACCAGGTGAGGAATGTAAGATGTCTTTGTGTGTGGTAGTGTTGGAGTTGTTTCAGTGTTATGTAGACTAGATACTGGATAGTAGAAGTAGTTGCAATACATAGTATGTTTCCAATAACACTTAAAAGGCACAAATAACACCAAAGTAAACTGATGTTTAAATGAGCAGCTTTAACTCTTAAGCAACAAACACTTAACGCTAAATACAACTTATAAAGTCAAAACTACAATCCAAGAGCAAAATTAAACAAGCGTAACATTGTAGCGAAGATTTGAAACTAAAATAATAGGACGTATATAAAACGGGGAGTTCACACTGAATAAATTGAATTGTACCAGGCTTGCAGCGAGAGGGAAGAGATATCGGTGTCAGAACTTACTCGTCCAAATTACCGCTGTGAACACTACTGCATTTTGAATGAAAACTTTTCTACCCCTGCTTGCCTTTAAATAAGTATATACGTGCTACATTTTACAAAGGAAAGTTTGGTAAATGTAGCTAGAATGTCGTTGAATATTCCTGTATTTAATTGTTGATATTCAATCGTATTCTATGCTAATTTGAACACCTGGTCCTTTTGTACGAAACGTGGTCCTTTGCAGTAAAGTTTAAATCTATTTCATATTATTATATTATATTTTACCACAATGATAATAATATATTACCTACATCAATTAGTGCTGGTCATTGAACATTGTTCTTGTATATAAAGGGGTTATATGTGACACGGATTAAATGTACCCTTTTACAAAGGGCAGAAGGAACATGTCAACTTTAATTTCAAACCTTTTCTTTAGAGTATAAATTGAATTAATTTGCGGTGGTAATTATAATGCTAATAAAATGTATAATGTGAATGTTTATACTAAAACTTTCTCACGTAACTGCGACGAGGAACTCGACTAGTTTCAACCCATGCTAGAGGCTCATATTCATGAGCCGCATTCCGCGACCCGCAAGGCGGCGACTGTCGCTTTGCTACGTGCTGTTTTTCGTAATTTTTCGTATCGTACCAAGTTTGATAGCGATAGAGAATTAATAGTATCTGTAGTATAACCAACAAAGTACTGACATCATTTCTTCGGATGTAATTATTATCATTTTAGCTACTAAAAATATGGATTTTCGTGTCGTTTTTCAAGCGTTAGAAAGCTGTAGTGGATCAAGGATATTGGAAAGGATAGCTTAGGTTCATTGTTTCAAGTGCATAGTGGTCGCACCACTTAATACGTTCCAACCGATTTCTCTCGTGAAAAATAGTAATGTTATGTTATTAACTCGTCGAGTACCGGTTTTGTAGACATAATTATAGAACAATAGGTTGCGGTCACCGGTGACCGCTTGGTGTTTGACAGTTTAATAAGTGAATACTCAATAACATAGTGGGTCGTCAGTTGAAATATTAGCGAATTACATGTTTTAGCAGAAGTAGTTTAGAATTGATTAAGAAAACATGAGGTTTCCCTGTGCTGTCGATTCGTTCGCATTTGCTCCGGTTTACCAAATTGTTTCCTTTTCCCAAGAATAATGTACGAATTAATGGAGATGAGTTACTGCGTTTTAATTATTTTCGTTTTAAAACCAACAAAGGTTTTTGCATTTACATACCTATGTAGTTGGAGATTGTGTGGAATTGCTATTATGAGGTATAATTATGTTTAACGGCTTACTCATGTATCGGTTTGATATATTAAACTTAATGAAAATGTATTGTAAAAATATACTTATGAGTAGGTATTCAGTAGTATCCTAGAGCGTACCCTTTTTTAAAAGGCCGGCAACGCACCTGTCACTCCTCTGGTGTTGCGGGTGTCTATGGGCGGTGCTGATCGCTTACCATCAGGTGATTCGTCTGCTCGTTTGCCTCCTATTCCATTAAAAAAATCCTAATCTTTTCAATTAAGATAGATAATCGATAATTGCAAAGAACGAAGGAAGTCGTGATTTTTTTAACTATTAGTAACTTTGACTTTTTTATGTAAAACAATATTATTAACAGCTTTAATGCACCGATACGAGATACAATATAAAATACATTCTGTCTCTCGTGGATCCACGTTTAGACATACGACGGGTTAATAGCCAGCCAAGTGATTTGGTTGCACCAAAATGTTTGTAGCAAATATTTGTCTGATAATAATATGACTAATATACTAGTAGTATTAGGAAATTAAGGCAAGGAATATAACATTCTGATTTAATGTCTACGTTGGTGTCGGGTCAACATTGACACAACGATGTGTTAGTTTCATTGAAATTCTAGTTAAAGTTCGCGAAAGAACTAGGTTCTTGTGTATCTATTCTTGTCTGTTATTTAAGTCTGAATCGTGCAAAAATTTGGTCATTACATGCATTAAAATGAATAGATACCATCTTTCTGTTTGTAGAAAAAAGGTACATATATGTAATCTGTGGTAGGTACCTACATATAATTGTTTTTAATTGTAATTAAACTGTAACCTTATCCAGGTTTTAGGTATATTGCAGGGTCAAGGAATGTAAAATTGGAGTTCACTTGTCAAGGTTAAATTTAAACTGATGAATGTAATTTAATGCCCTCATTATTAAGATTTATTTCTATAAGACATACGAAATGTTTTTCAGTGATTCCATGTTTTAAATTTTAATTCTCAACACTTTAAAATAATAATGAGAAGTCTGAATATGTGAATCGAATTTATTGAAAGTATTATTTTCAATTCCTGTAATTACTTATTATGATGATTTCATATGTAATATACTCCGGGTATTTCAATGAAATAACATAACGTAACGCCTTTTATCCTCGAAGGAGTAGGCAGCGGTGCACATTATGGCACTTAATGCCACTATACAATGTAACACCCACTTTTCACTGTTTATGTTATGAGTCCCATGTAATAAGGGGTGACCCTATTGCCATATACAGGGCGTAAATTCAGATTTTATGCTATGACTTACAATCTTTTTAAAAACGCAATAATACTTTGCCTGTCCCGGGAATTGAACTCGAGACCCCTTGCCTGGCAGTCGTTGCACTTGCGACCACTCGGCCAACGAGGCAGTTCAATAAAGTATGGTAAAATTATTCACAAAAATAATGAATAATTATAATCTTAGGTATCCATACATGAAAGAGAGGAGCAAAAAGAATATTGTACCTATAAAAAAAGCGTTATAAGGATAAAAAATCTAACAATGAATCAGACTTTCCCTAGCCGTTGTAATCAATTAACTTTTAGACTGAGGCCGTTTAATTATGCAAGTGGCTGGTTACATTTGACGGAATAATCGGATGACTGTGAAACTGAATTTATGATGCGGATGGTACCGCCGGTGATAATTACCCGTTATTAATCACTGTTAACCGGCTCAATTACTTAAAAACTGTACAATTGAATTCATTAGAAACATAAGTACCTTGTTAGTTGTTGTTAAGCGGATCTGAAGACATAACCATTATCGGTCTGCATTTGTATGGTCTCAAACTCAAAACTGACGATCCCATGTAGAGTAATAGAATTAACTACAATCATAATATTATTAAGCTAAATATGTATATGTAGATGTAGCCTCCTTTTAAAATGTCGAAAGGTAATTGAAAACATCAGAAACGTTCTGATTGGCTACATTACGTAATTATATATAATCATTGAGTTATATTACGAGGGGAATCCTCTGATGGATTGCCCACTAACGACTAATTTACTACCAACCTTTACTGACTGACGATTTCTTTAATAAAAATGAATGTTTTAAACATCTCTAAATATTGCTCATAATGCAAAAAAATCGACGCATGCTTCTCATGCGTGACGGCGCGGGTTCAAAACCTACCAACGGCAAATACCAATATGACTTGGCCGAGGTATATGTACTTTCTAAGATTATTTAGACACCACTGACAAACGGTGAAGGAAAACATCGTGAGGAAACATGGAATAATTTCTTATTATACGTTTGAAATCGCCAACCCGAATTGAGTAAGGGTTTTGATTTGTATAAGAAGAGGCATTTGGGCAGCTGTGGCCTCTTATACACTGTTGATGTGATGTAAATGCAACCAAGACTACATTTTACATTGTTTTGTTTTTTATTGTTACATTGCCTTATTTGATAGTTATTGGTTAGTAACAACATGAGTAACCATATATAACAATTATGTGAAGATTTTAATGGTAGTTATATTTTAACAATAATTTGCTACTACTCAGAGCTGCAAAATTAATAGATTCCCTGAAACAAATGCATTTAGCACATCTTATATATGACAATGGGTCCTATTGTATGAACGCAAAATGCGGAACGAAGGACCAGAATAAAATATAATGCATTCACCTACATCCTTATCCTTAACCAATAAGGTTCGTTTTTCTTTGAATTCTGGTACAAATAACATGGACCTAAGCTTATGATGTTGGGTATGTGCCAAGTGCAGCAGTGGGCGACTATTTGGCACGACCCGTCAGAACCGATTGTAACCGATGTGGAAAGCGATTTTAGGTTTGGCTCTTCCATCAATTTATTTGGTTATAGAATATTTACATGTGATCTGAATTTCGGAACCTTCATGTATTCAGTCTTAATAAGTACCTAATTTCATTTTCATGGTACAGTGCAATGATTTTATCTTTCGAAATATGTGACAGAGAAATTTTTAAATATGATTGTTTAACAAACCATTAACTGGCAAAAATAATTGTCGTTAAATCACCATTAACTTCGGCTACACAAAAACCTCACACCTCATAAAATTTTCGATTTATTGTCAAAAAAAAAAGTTTCTACTCAAAGTAAAAATTCTGAGAAGAGCTACTCAAAAAATCCTTTGAGACAACCCCATTAAATAATACAACAAACAGGTTTAAAAGGGTTTTCAACCTCGTTGGTTATATTTTTCATTTCCTTGTTGATCACGGAATGGTTGCTGAGCAAACTGACGTCGGAGAAAATGGTATAATTTAAGAGAACCGTGTTATAAGACGGGGAACATTATTACGGCTCTTGAAAACAACGGCCTGTCGACTTGCTATGAAGAGCTAAATTACAGCCTTTTGGGATGCAGGCAGACTCATTCTAAAGAGCGTCTCACAAGTTTTGTTGAGTGATGACATAATGTTCGCTTTGTCTCCTTTATATCGGGTGTAATAATAATTTTATTTTGTTAACAAAATCTAACTACGTTATTATTTTCAATGATTTATTCTATTTTTGGTTACAAGACTTCTTTATTTTTTGGTTTATTATCTTTAAATTTACCTTTTTTGTTAAATATTAAACGTATACTTTTATAGTTAATCTTTGATTTGAAATACTACGAAATCGAGAAACAGATGCAGTAATAGCATTATTTATAGCATTTCTCTTTTAATATTGTAGAAATTAGAAAATTGAACCCTAGTTTAATGACTAAATAGTATGTATATGATAGAACCTTAGTTCATAGATAGACCTTTATATTATTGTCTATGATTCCGGTTACGTGTCTTCGAGAGTTTTTGTTTTATGTATTGGTCTGAATAAAACTACATTTCTATAGTTAAAACTGTTTATCCTTATTAAAATTAACAAATATTTTAGTATCCAATAGTTGAATCCCCGCATGGTGATATCCATTAATGTTTTCGGTTGAAATGTTAATTCATACAATTTACGTTTACATAAGTTACTTTAATGTGGTTTGTTAAAATGAATTTAACCAAGTTTGATTTAAATACCAAGGTATAAACAACAATTTATAACGAAATAAACAGTAAAGTTATTTAAAATTATATTGTACTTATGTTGACAAGTTTGACAAGATTCATATCTTGTCTAGGTATTTATTTTTAAACCAAGTGTTTACTGACACGGAAACGTGGTCCTTTGAGGCGATAAAAGATGTATAATGCAATGTGCATGTTCATCGCATCCTACGTACTGTTTATTTAAAGGGAATAATTTATTTAAGAATATACTCGGACACACCGTTTTACTCACATAGTTACGAACAAAATTAGGCCATATAGATGCATTCCAACAAAAAAAGAATAGACTGGTAACTTAATAATATTCACAAAAAAGTTTCAAACCAAAGAATGTTAGCAGTTTGCAATATTTTGATGTGTTTGCGTCCTTATAAATTATGCGATTTTCACTTTAGTCATTTTAAAATAGTATTTGTTCAGACAGACTTCAGGATTGTAAGAAGTTATTCTTTATATGCTGTTTTTGTTGTCACTCAGGCGGCAAACGCTCGTCGTACGCTCCGAGGTTGGGCTGCAGTGAGGGCGTGGTGCGTGGCGTGGTGGCACTCTGGACGTGAGGACGTGGAGGACACGGAGCCTGAGGAGGAACCCTCAGACCCTGGGTACGCCACACCTGTGTCTGTTGAGACGCCGCTACAGAGTTCTGTGTCGAGGTAAGAGACTGAACATATTTCTATTTGTATCTAGTTGTGTAGTTTTATATACCGCAATATTAGCACGTGACCACGTGAAGTATCTTGGACTTAATTCCTGGTTAGAGTAAAGTATTATATGCAGTAAATGAGTTATAGTTAAGTATGAATTTCAAAAACACCTTAGTCAGACCTCTTGCTATTGGAAAGGGTAGTCGACTTTAGTCTGCTTTAATGAACCAGTAGACGAGGTACTGTTCACAACCCAAATTCTGACAACACATTACAGTAAAACGTATTACGCATCATAAATACAAGTCAAACATTACTAACATGTGCTATTGATAAAGGTATTCCCCAAGGAACAGGAGCACTACTAATAACACCGACCCTTCCTAACATTCAAGGGACACTATATCTAAAGTTAATAAATAAATAGGACATTACCTAACTCCGGCTTGCGGTTTAAGTAACGGATTGTTGAGGAAATCTGTAAAAGCTTTATTTTGGGAACTAATCTGAAGTACACTTGGGAGACTGTTCGTTTATAATGTCGTAGTAAGCATTTAAAGAACAGGTTGTTGATATCAATATCTTTTTTCATAGGTGCACATCACTGAACGTCATCAGGGATCCTTATGCATCTCGCGGCGGTGGTTCTAGTGGCTCTGGAGGTGATGGAGGTACCTCTCCCCTCCGCCGAACTTATGAGCCACCCTCTAACATGCCCGCAGCCCGTGACAGTCGTTCTTTGCCTCCTAACACCAGAATCAACGCTACTACCTCACCTGCACCAAAATCTGCGTCCGCAGACTCAGTGTACACGATCTTAATCAGGCTACCAGACGCTGACACTGAAAGACCAACGATTAAAATGATCACAGAAGAGTCTCCACCCTCTAACACGAGGCCACATTTCCGACCAACCAGAGGAGACTCAGAGCTCAACCTTCATCCTGCTGGTCATCAAGCACTGACCAGAAGAACATCCCACATACAGGATGTTAGAATCCCTTTGAACGCCAAGATTATTCCGAAGCAGTTGGCAGGTAAGGGATTGACGAAACAGCCGAAGCCAAAGAAGAAAACGCAGGAGAAGAAGCAGGAGACGAAAGCTGCGAAAACGTTGTCAGCCATCTTACTATCTTTTATAATTACTTGGACGCCTTACAACATACTGGTGTTGCTGAAGCCTCTCACAGCTTGCACTAAGTGTATCCCAGACGAGTTATGGTCCTTCTTCTACGCTCTATGTTACATTAACTCTACGATTAACCCAGTGTGTTACGCTCTCTGTAATGCGACCTTCAGAAGAACGTACGTGAGGATTCTGACATGCAAGTGGCACAATAGGAATAGGGAAGCAATGACTAGGGGTGTGTACAATTGAATTGTGATGAGCTTCGAAGTTTGAATGATTGGTCTTGCGACGGTGCCAAAATGTAAATTGCCCAATTTTGGTAACCGTTACGTTTTTGTTATTGATGTTACGTAAAGCGATGTTGGTAATGGAAAGAAAGTTGACAGTATTATGTTTTAATGTTTATAAAAATATGCAGATATTTAAATGGTTCTGAACATAGAAAACAAAGATAAAAACAATGTGCCAATGTGTCAAAACTCTCCGTTACCAACATTGGTACAATTTAACACATAACCACCTAGTTTCAAATATTCTTCCTAAATTGTGAACTAAAATGGACTGCTAATAAAACGTGGTATCATCCATATTAAGTGTGAGAAAATAATATTTATTTTGTTGTCCATTGAAACGATTAGTTGTGAATTTTTATTTCGATTAGTGAGTTGACCGTCCCGTCCATACATAGTGTATTATTTGTAGATGTAGATACATTTGTTTTGATTTAGTTTCGTGGTTTAAGAATGTTTTATATCGGACGTTGTTTGTGTAGTGCGAGACATGCTTCGTTAAAACACGAATAATATTTGAAAGGGATTTACTTCTACTAAAGTAGGTTACATTTTAATAAATAACAAAAATATATCGTGATGCTTTTCTGATAGTTTCTTACAAATCAGTCCAAATTACATTTAGTTTGTAAAATGAAACACCTAACAGTATTATAAGATCCGATAACATAATTCAATTGATTTTGTTACGAAGCTATGCACCACACAAAAACTGCCCGTGTCTTCTCCTGTTATAAGAAGAAGAATAATTTAATTTTAAAACAAAAATTAAGAGCAAAAAGTTAAAACGTCAAGAGTATATTAAGAATGATTAGCGTTATAGAAAAAGAGCTGAGTATAACTGCGTTAAACATTGGTAGTTGTCAGAATCTAGTCAAAAGGAACCGATACGAGAATACGAAGACCACGCTGGATATAAAATTCAGGTTTAAATATACAGAAAAGCTGATCTTACTAAGATTATTCGTAATAGATTTCATACTGTATGAGGTTGATTTGATTTACTGCCGAAAGTTGATGAAGACGATATAATTACTACTTACTACATACACAGAAACTAAAATCTGCCAACATTCAAATTATACGGCAACACACATCGGTCAAAAGAGTAAAAATTGAATAACAATAGTAATGTTTTTATGCCAGTGGACACGCGGTATTAGATCGTTGTATACTGCGAATAAACGCGATTGTTAAAATAAATTCCGACGTTTACTCAAATAAGGATCTTATAAAATTGAAATATATTTGCAACACTAGAAGTGAAACGTCAAAGGCAAATGTCAAATCTCGTATTTTCGTATCGGATCGCTTTGAAGGTGTTACTCTAGTCAGATATTTCTCTACAGTGTTCTGGTTAAGGTTTGAGCTTCTAGGATTAAAATATCGACGAATTTAGATCACGAACAATTTTATTTGCAGTCTTATATTGATTAATTTATTTTACTTACAGCTATCTTTTTCGTCGAATGCTTCTAACAAATTTGACAGTTATATCCACAGATAAAAAATGGTCGATATGTTCGATTTTAAAATTCGCTTCTGTAAAAGAGGTTTTGCTGTGAACATTCCTTTTTGACTGAAGCTTCTAGTGCTATAGTTGCTTCCCAACGATCAATGTGTTTTTTTTTACGTATAAACGAGTGACTCGTAGCGATCGTAAGTTAGTGTGTATCTACTTTGTGCATCTGTGTATGTCGAACAGTATTAAGAGAGAGTCCTGAGCCTTTTTTCAAATAACTGTGTGTTTCGTACCTAATGTATTTTATTTAAGTAAGTTTTATAATTATAGAAATTCTGAGCAATACTCAAAACTGTTCTGTAAGGGATTTAAATGTTTATAACGATAATTTTAAGATTTCAAAGATGACCATTTAAAAAGAAGTATTTAAGTATTTATATTTTCTTTGTCGTGAGTATTCTGTGATTTCATTAAAGATCAACGTGGGATGTTCGTCTCGGTGTACTATTGTAATATTCATACAACGATCTTTTATCATACGTGACCCTTTATTATTGCATTGTTTTACCTCACTCTTCTACGAAAATTTTATGAATATTTCGGAATCTATTATTCCTTTTAATGTCGTTAATACTATCACTATTGTGATAACGTTGTGACACACGAATAGTGAGTTAAAATGATCATTCAAATTTTAATTCATCGCTAATCTTATCCGACAACGTTTAACTATAGTATATTTAAATATGTGTCAACGTAGATAAAATGGGATATATTCATTGAATTCTAAATATATGTATGAATTTTAAAAATATATAAAAGTAAATGTAAATACAACATTCGATATATTAAGTCTATGACATTTGTATCGGCAGTATTATTATAAATAGGAATATATTATGTATTATACAATTAATGTGTGTGTAAGTAAGTATATAAGGTAATGTAATATATACATCAAGTCTATGAGTGTTTTTTTTTGTTCCTTTGTTGTGAATGAGGTTTTATTAACCAAATTATTAATTATATGTATGTGTAGAAATAGAAAATCTACTATATATCAATGCAATTTATATCTAAGTCCTAGATTTTTGAATAAAACCAAATTTTATACAAAATTGAGAAGAATTACGCATTTTTCTTACAGACAGAAGGGAAGTTACCTTGAATGAACAGCTTTAATGGAAACCAAGCCAAGAGTCTTATTAAGTAACCATAGGACAAACGACTTGCCAAAAATGTGCCAAAATATTAATTAAATCTGAATATTTTATTTTTTTTAACCGTAAAATAATAAAATCGTGCGCAAGCTCAACATTTCAATGCATCAAGTAGCACCAATAAATATTGTTGCAATAACGTATTAATATCACATTTTTATACACAGTGAAATAGTACTGAACCTAGAAAATTTTAAAAATAAATAAATATTTCATACTTATCATAACTTAAAAATCATTATCACTAACACCAAGAAATGCAAATGGCGTCCTTATGTGTCAAACGATGTCAAAATAGCGCGGGAATTTTACTAACCTTAAAATTTAAATGAAGATGCAAGTTTTAATAGTTCCCTTTATCTATAGCACAAATTACAAATAAAATTAATATTTAAACGTAATTTTTGCACTTAACCAGCATTGTTACAATTTTAAGATTTTTTTTAGGTTAATCGTTATAAACATTTCGATGCACAAAAAAATTGATCATTTTTATTAATAGCGCCATCTATCTGGATAATTTGACAGAAAATGAACTCTTGACATGAAATATAAGACTTGTTTTATCTTACCCAAAATGTTATTAGCATTTCTAAAACCTTTGCCTATTTGAATGATGGCAATACCTACACTTATAGTGAGTTCCTAGACAAGCATACTTTATTCAAGAATTATTTTCTCATCATATAGGTAGGATATTATCAATCTAACTACACATCGTAAAAATGTATTTTCCCAATCTGTGTCTAATCGTATACTTAGCTTACAAAACACGTATATTAGAATGCGTAATTCTATCATTACACCTGACAGAACTGATTGACTTACAAATACAATTGCAACAGAATAAATAACAGAACACGTTTTGAACGAAACTGTTTTTTTATTAAATAAAAACTGTTTTATTCAATAACCGTTGTGATTATTATTTTACTCCAAATTTTTAACTTTTTTATTTTCCCTTAGAATTTTTATGCAACGATTTTTGTAATATAACCGAAATTTTTTGGTTGTTTGTTAATTGGAACAAAATAAACGTCAAGTAAGATAATTAAATAGTTGCAGTATCTTTTGGACGATAGCTGATACAATTTCCACGGGTACGTCTCCTTTTAACGTGAACATTATATGAGTCTATATGTATTATGTCTTTTTAAACTGAAACCGAACGATTTTTTCATCATATTAATAAATTGTATTTGTAATCACTTGGTAGGTAGTTATTCTAATTCCTAAACGTATTGTCAATGCGCACAGTAAAATTAGTTATTTCTTTTATTTGTGAATGTCCCTTTAAACTTAGAACTTATTCTAGTCTGAATTGTTTTGTAGGTAAACTAGTAGTAACACGATGAAATTCTTGTAAAGGTGCAATATTATAACTCGCTTGCAAGATTTTGTCCACTGAACGGAGCAAATTTGCTTGAAATTATGTTTCAAGCCCGAACTAAACGTAATTTAGTGACTAATTCAAATTTTCAACGGCAGTTAAATTGTATCATTATCACAATGGGGCATACTATATTTTGCCCACTAACCGGCGCTAGTGTAAACCTCTCGTTCTTCGTCTAAAGCCTTGTTCGCACTGCGTTATTTTAGTCGAGTAACAAGTTCTTAGTAACTCTCTCGCTTCGATTTGCGACAGAAGCGAGAGAAGGCTACTAAATTAAATACTCGCTACTCGACTAAAATACACACAGTCACACCATTGGACGTTCAATATTTGACAGCAGCTTTGATTGGACAAAACAAGCTCTTTCTACATTTGCGCCAACTGGTGAGCTAAAATACAATAGCCCCAATTGCATTCTACGGTTGATACATAAGGCTTTTTGAAATGAAAACGAAGGAAAAGGGATAGTCGGTTTCAATATTGCACCTTTTTGTTTAAATCCCAGTGTATGTAATTTAATAATAGTTGACAGTACAAAGTTGGGCTCCTCACAGCTCACAAATTCATCGATACGATCCTTAACTTTTGTCTTGATTTAATTTATATTCCTTTCAAAGGACGACAACATACATGAGCATAGATTTCATAAATTTTCAGCATTTTCAGTTGAATGTTTGTATTTTGATTTGAGCGCAATAGGTTAAGACTAATTTGTCACGAAATTTTTATAAGGTCCTTGTTTCAGCACCTTTGATTAAGCGTCAGTCATTCATAGAAGCGGGTAATTTGACACGATTTTTGTATGGATAGTGTCAAAGCTGTTTCAGTTAACCTAACTAAGAGTTAACCTTGAGTTTTATGTTCTTTTTTCATTTTTGTATGTTGTCGTTCTACAGCATAGGGTAGAGATTATTTTGCTGCATGGTATTTTAAAATATTTGCATATTCAGCTATCATAGGAGAGTCTTAAAGACTACTTGTATATTACTAGTAAATTAAGTACTACATCTCGATGTTAATAATTTTTATATCTCGAATCATAATAGACAACCTTGCTTTGCAATTGACCTACTTTCAACTCATACTAACACTCTGTCGTACCTATAAGTATAAAAATATGATATAATTATTGAGTCAGTACCTCAATATTGACAAAAATAGATAGTGTATTACCAGATTCTAAATTTTTTGCCTATTTTGTATTACAGACAGGCGTGAAATGTCAGATAAATAAATATATAAATGTGAAATCAGACATGACCTTAAATTATTTAGCATGTGCCATAGCGTCGATGTTTTACAGTATTTGTATAAGAAGCGAGCTCAAGGTGTGCTAAGGCGTATGTAGTGTGACCATACACGTAGCTGACTTTGTTTTTCGTGTCAACTAAATTAATACGAGTACATAGCTAGTTAAATGAATAGGATTAATATACAGTACGTTTACTATTTTCCCGGAATCATGAAGTTGGTCGCCCGCTGCGAGTGAATGATATGAAAACGTTATTTTGTGATTAATTTATTTAATGGATGTCATGTAAATCGTATTTTAACTTAATATTCATCATATTTTTTGTAATTTAAGCTACGGTGGGCGTCTCAAATATTTTGGACTTGTAATTGAATAGGTAATGTAATTAGATAAAAATATAACTCAGACAAAAATACCAGTCTCTTGACAAGTTAGTTAAAATAAAATTGGTTAAGTAAGCGATGAGCATGGAATATGAGGTTCCACTTTTGTCTTTAGTATAATATTAAATAGCGCAGGTCTTGATATGTTTCAAGGAGACTACGTACTTTATAACACTAAGCACAAATCAACAGACCAATAAGACGATTGATTCATTCATTTTATTTCAAAAACAATTCAAAATATTTGAGATGCCTATATTTTAACGAATCCGGTGTTTATTATTAAACATTTTTAGATGTCGATTTTGTAAAATCATTAAAATAATGACAAGGGATTAAAACGAACTGAAATATTTAATTAAAAAAAGTATTGTCATGTAATATTTGTAGTGTTGTAAAATAATAATAAAAAAAATAATGGGAAATAAACTCAGAAAATAAGTATGATAGATATTCGATGGATTTTGCATGAAATAAGATATTAGAACTGTAATAAAATAATTCAACATTTTACAAATAAAATCGGACAATTTGTTTTAATGGAATGTTGTTAGTGAAATTCTTTAATTAATACAATAATGTATTTATTACAGAGTTTAAACGGGCTAGGACATAGGTACATGACAAACGTACTTATTAATTTGAAATTAATGACTTTGTTGCACATTACTAAATATAGGTACAATATACAATATGTAATTCGTTCATGAGGAAACGTGTGTCTACATAAATATTTCAAAACAGAAAACGAGGTTCTTTCAACTGAAATTCCTGCGTAAGAACATAAAAATCGAAATTCGGCGATTCGTATGAAAAATTGCACGAATATTACCTCTATACTTGATAGCTTAATAAATGATGTTTGTTGTTCACGCGCCACTGGTTCAGCGTAATTATTGACACCTTATTTAAACTAAACAAATTAACAAGTTTCCAAATTATAGTGTGGAGTTAGATAACAAATAATTACGAAGTTTAATAGGCGTGTACACGTAAACACCATTATAGCGAGAACTCTGACAAAACATTACAAATACCAGCCCAATTATTACTTGTGTAGCTCAATTTATAATTGTGACGTCTCAATTTCAAAGTCCTGGCTCGTGTCTTTATGTAACAGTTATTATATTGTTGTTTTATTAATGAATTGTTATTTTGTCTGTAAGATTATTTATTTGTAATGCCCTGACCAAAATGCTCTTCGTCGTTCGTGTATACATGAGACTTTTTGACAGTAACTTTGTGCGAGAGATGAACGAAATGAAACAGCAATTTAAAAATTTAGGATTTATTATTATCAATGTACAAGTTTAGTCATTCACGATGTATTTATTAATAAAGAAATAAATAAATGTGGTTTTTTGTAAGTTATTTTAAAAATTAATCAATGTTTTTGTATAACCAAAGACAATAAAAATTTAACTAAAAATTATTGTGTTTGTTATTTTCGATGCATGAGATTTGTTTTGTTTTTATGTATTGTGTTTTATTTTTGTTTGTTTTAAATAAAATA